CATACAGCTTTACATCCCTGGGGCATTGTTGGAGACTTGGAAATACTACTTAAAACATTGCCATGGTTTCTTCTTCCTTTGGGTTTTCATTTTAAGAGGTTAAAAAAAAATTATACTCAAGTTACCTAGTTCGTATCCTGCTACATCCCTCAAGTGCTTCGTTGCTATCAGTTCCGGTGCAGACTTCCCTCCTAAGCACAACCTGTGGTGCCCGAGGCCCAGGCATCTGGATTTGAGTATGATGGGTCCAAGGTCTACTCATTGGCCAGAAGCTGAGAGCTGATTCTGCTTCTAATATACTCATAAGTCTCTATAGAAAATAGCATGACTATAATGCTTGAAGCCATTTAAGATGAAATTTGTGCAGGACATAAATCGTTAGAATATTTGAGTTCGGGTGTGTGTGCATGCATGCCCAAGATCCCAAGAGGAGAATGGAGGATGGCCACACCGCAATCCCTTTCCTCCATTGTCTTCCCTGGATCTTGGTCACGCACGCACACGCGCCCAGCGTGAGTTTTAAGCCACCTGGTCCGGGACGCAAACCGCGGTCGACTGCATGGGAGTCCAGCGACATAGCCATTACACTAACTGCTGGTCCCCAAAACAAGAATATTTAAGAGCTAACAGTGGCTTCTTTTTGTAAGTCAGATATATTTAGTAAAAATGCAGTTTCTTCTATTAAAGGGATAATATTTAAAGGCACATTAGTCTCCATTTTATTGATAAAATTAGCATGACTGTAATCTTAATTTTTATATGGCTTTGACCATAGTAGTTAAAACTTTAATTTGGTGATTTTTACCTTTCCAATTTCAGTTCATTTATTTCTAAATTCAGAAAGTATATATATTCATATGTGTTATTAATGTCTCATACCCATCAAAAAGTTGCTTTTTCTCCTTTTTTTTTGGAAAAAAATGGAATGGGCCATCTATTAACTATAAATGTGCTACTTTTATTATTATTATATATTGCCAGGATTCTTTTTTGATACGTTTAAGGTCTATTTCTGGTCTTTTCAAAATAACGTTGTATAAATACCAAAAAAGAAAGTAAAGAAAAGAAAAAAAATAGCATGACTATCTTGCTTCTTTTTCTGTTTATAATCAGGAAAATTTTTGTAAAATCTCTTCAAAAAGATTAAATTGATCTAATCCAATGTTTATCATAAGGCTAATGTTTCCTGCATTCGCCTTAAAAATATTATGATTAAGTCTTCTTGCCTGTACAGTGGGAATAATAGTAGGTCATTCTTCATGGGAATTTTGGGAGGATTAAATAAAATAATGTACTTAGCACAATCATTGCTATATAGCTTTCAGTAATCTGGAGTGTTATTATTAATAAGGAAATAATACTCTGGGCATAAGACCAATACACCAGTTTTGGTATTCACATGAACTAGCCCAAGAAAATAGAGCAATGCATTGATCACGTAACTCCCTGCATAGCTTTGAACAAAAACTTAACGATTTATTTGCATCTCAATTTTCTCAGGTAAAACTCGTTGATTTTATTAGGATAGAAGATTGCTATTTTTCTTTCTAATTTTCTTTTATCTTTTTCTTATCTAAAGTTTGTCTTTGGATCAAATAAGTCAGTGTAAGTGATATTTATTGCCAGATGTGACCTTTTGTCAGCACATTGTAGAATCCCAACGTTAATGTCACTTTCTATAAATACCGATTTAGGGTGAGGAAATGTTCTGTCTGTAGAGAAGTTCAGCTATTGAGATTCTTTCTCTTTTTAGATGCCCCGTCCCCAGGCTGTTACTCACCGTTGGCATGCGGTCCCAGTCTCACTTTGGTCACTTTCTTCTTTCGTGATCACAGATGCTGGTAGCCACCTATAATTTTGAAGTTCCCCATGCAGCCTTCCCTAGTGGTTGGCATTGCATTTGAGTGGTGCTTTCTTGCTTCCTCTACCTTTTGAAATTTAAAAATAGAAAATAAATAAACCCACGGTCTTGCAAATCAGCTGAGCTGTTTATTCATTTAACCGATTTTCTGGTGAATTCCGCGATATGACTGGAAGAAGTATATCTACTGTTAGAAATCTGCCCTGAATGCAGAATAAACCCTGTAAGAAATTGACAAAGAGCTGCTTTTATTTGGACTGTCAAAAACACCATCAGAAATGGGAGGCAGCAGCTCACAGGAAGAAGCTTTGAGAAATAAATCCAAGAGACAGATCGGCTCCCATCCCGTTCCATGGGTGTTTTCCTTACCTGTCCAATTTCCCTGAGCCACTGCAAGGAGTCCCTGGGTTGATCAAAGGACTCTTAGGACTCTGATTCACACATTATGTACCTAAGACAAGTCCTTAGGAACATGAAAACTCGTCATCGGAGTGAGCCCTGTTGTTTGCAGAGGATCCCCCACACACATCTCAGGGAACATGCTAACATATGGCACCCTCTCTCCAAGCAGATTAAATACAGTTTTATTGCTGACACAGTTTTTCAGAAATATTTTTACAATTTTGCATGTAACTGATTTAATTTATAGTTGGCTGTTAGTTTCTCAGCAATTAGCATAGCGTACTTGGGAATTTTTATTAAGTTCAAAAATAAATTCAGCCTACAAAATACCAAATCAGCAATTAATGACGTTAACATTAATTGTAGACCTTTAATATTTATTCATTTCAATTTTATAGTTACCCTATTTTGAAGCCAATGAGTGATTTTCAAGGTTTCAGACATTTTTATAACCTGAAAGGCCCCAGGCATTAGACCCGATGTCCTGTCGTTAAAAACACTCTGATTGGCAAATTTTAAATGCTGCAGCCTTGTTTCTTCCCAGAATGAGAGCTGGTTTGAGGGACACAGGCTGGCACACCAGTAGCGTTCATTTGTAACAGGAGGCGAGACCCCTATGAAACAGTCAATTGGAGGCAGAATCCCTGGGTTTCAGCCATTAATTCTGTGGATGGCCTTGAACTCTGCCCATGGCCCTTTTACACCCCCAGTGGGACCTTTTCAGACAAACTCTTCATCTGGCTTAGGGGAAGGCCCTAAGTCATCAATTCTATAGAACTGAGAGATACGTAAAACCATCTAAACCAGAGATAAGGATTTCCCCCTCACACATGGAAAGGAAAGGATTATTTTATGTCTGTATTATTTTACCAGAATGAAGGAAAGAAGGGAAGGAAAAGGGAGGGAGAAGAAAGGAGAGAGGACAGCACCACCACCATTTGTGTCTACAAAGCAATTAGTCTTTGAGTTGTGTGCAAAACTACCAGTATCCCTTCTTGAGAAAGAAAGGTTTTCGTGTACGATCTTTCCAGTCTCCCATGCAAAAGTTATCTGCCATCTGTTTTTGGCAAGTGCAATGCAACAAAAAGAACGGAGGTCTCAGAAGCCAGATAGTGCTGTGTTCAAAGCCAGCCCTTGCACTCATCACTCATCAGTTCCCAAAGTGTGAGCCAGGAACCCTTGGAGGCGCTCTGGATGTCTGTAAGGTTAGAACTGTTTCCATAACAGTAGTATGATGTCATTGCCCCTTTTCGGGCAATTCATTCATTGTTTTCATGAGTGAATTTTTCCAGAATGTTAGGTATTGTAGCAGATTGAATGCCTACACAGGTAATCAAAAAATCTCTGTCTTCTCTTAAGCCAAACATTAAATATATTTACAGGAATGGAAGACAGTGCCACTCTTACCCCTTTTTTTGTTGGGGGTAGGTAGTTCTAGAAATATTATCACTTTAAAGTTTTTAAAATGTGTGGTTTATGTTAACATGTAATGGGATTGTTATTGTTATTCTTTAATAAACTAATGTGTATTTTTAATTTCTCAACTTAAATGTCTAATGTGGTAAATATTCATAAATACACCCACATTTAAAAAGTTATTTGGGGTCTTAAAGTACAAAAGGGAGTTAGCCTCTCAGTGCAGCATTTAGGCCAACCAGGGTTCTAGTCCCCACCCAGCAACTTGAAAATCATGCCAGTCATGCACATGGGTGCCCAGGATCCTGATGGCTGGAGAACTAGAGGAAAAAAGAATGCCACGTAGTCAGGCCCCATTGGAAGAGAGTTCGTTCGTTCGTTCGTTCTTTCTTTCTTTCTTTCTTCTTTCTTTCTTTCTTTCTTCTTTCTTTCTTTCTTTCTTCTTTCTTTCTTTCTTTCTTCTTTCTTTCTTTCTTTCTTCTTTCTTTCTTTCTTTCTTCTTTCTTTCTTTCTTTCTTCTTTCTTTCTTTCTTTCTTCTTTCTTTCTTTCTTTCTTCTTTCTTTCTTTCTTTCTTCTTTCTTTCTTTCTTTCTTCTTTCTTTCTTTCTTTCTTCTTTCTTTCTTTCTTTCTTCTTTCTTTCTTTCTTTCTTCTTTCTTTCTTTCTTTCTTCTTTCTTTCTTTCTTTCTTCTTTCTTTCTTTCTTTCTTCTTTCTTTCTTTCTTTCTTCTTTCTTTCTTTCTTTCTTTCCTTCCTTCCTTCCTTCTTTCTCTCTTTCTCTCTCTCTCTCCCTTTCTCTCTCAGTGCTGTGTGCATATACCTCTAGCATTAAAATAATAATAATAATAACTTTCAAAGTATAAAGGAGTTCAAAACTATAACCAAAAAATTTGGGAGCCCTCGATACTATTTAATAGTAATCACCAGTTATTGATTCTTCCTTAGGCCAGGAGCTAAGCAAAGTATGCTACATCCTTCATCTCTTTTCATCTTTGCAACAACCAAGTCAGTTCTCTGGCCCCACCCAAAACTGGGGCCACACTCTTGATCACTGGGCAGTATTCCCATCAAAATCAATTCTCTGTAACTTCAAAAAAAACTTTTTTTACTACTCTGAGCATAGAGTTTCTTATCAAAAATGGGCAGAATCTGTTACCCTGCAGGATTCTCTTAAGAGCAGAAGTGTTAGTTTGCATTCAAGTGCCTAAAAGGGGGACTGATGCCAAATAGACCGAAATGTGTTAGCTTTCCTTCTTCTCTTCCTTCCTTGTCCTTAGCATGACTTAGACCAAGGAGGCTCATCAACTGTCCTTTTTCCTCTAGACGGTCTTCAAGCAGACAAGGAGGCTGATGGAACTGAAGGCATTGACGAAGATATGATTGTGACCCAGAGTCAGACCAACTTCATCTGTCCCATCACACAGGTACCACTTCCTCCTCCTTTGTCTAAAAGAGAACAGTTCATTTCATGGAGGCCAACAAGTTCCTGTTTGCTTCGTGATTTGATTTCGCATTTTGAAGTTAAGAAGGGAGAAAAGAGAATCAATGAGGGTTCAAGAGGATACACAGGAGGTCCTTGGGCTGGTCCTAATCTAGGAATAACTTCGTGGCCCACAGGCCAGTGGTCTCCCTGCATTTCCTTATCCAAAGCCTAATAATGTTCTAGAGCTGGGAGAGTGGGAGGTTAGCGTAGTGTGTCCAGGTCTAGGAAAACAATGGCTACTAGAAGTAGACCATTGTTATTCCTGAAAGCCTGGTGTCTCCTTGATTACAGGTAGAAATGAAGAAGCCGGTGAAAAATAAAGTGTGTGGCCACACCTATGAAGAGGATGCCATTGTTCGCATGATTGAGTCTAAGCACAAGCGGAAGAAAAAAGCCTGGTGAGTGGGTGCAGGAAAGGAAGTGATAAGCAGTCAGTCAGAGCTAGCGTGTCCGTGCTAGAGGAGCAGTCCTCAGATGTCTCCCCTAAAGTACATTCGCCTCCCGAGTGCTGTAAACATCGAAGCTGGTTTCTGGAAAAACAGTGTATGAGGGGGAAATTAATAATTTGTTCAGGAAGAAGCTGGAGGAACTTCAACCATACCTTTCAAACAAAGGAGAAACAAATGGGGTTGAATTTGAATCATTAGATAACAGGGTTTTTATTAATTTTGTGCTATTAAAAAACATAGCCTGAAGAAAAAAATGAAGTGTGATATTAGGAGGTTTATGCTTCCATTATTTTATACATTTACCCAAACAAGAAGAATTGATAATTTTTCATTTTTATTTTGCTTCCTGCAATATAGGTAACTCATTTAAAAAATATTATTAAACTAATTCTGAGGTAGGAATTCTTATTCAGTTGTTTCGATGATTAAGATTTCATAGTCAGGTCCTGCTACAGAGGTACACAGGCCACTGCTGCTCCACACGCTGAGGCCACAAGGGAGACCTGGGTTCATTTCCCGGCTCACCCTAAAAAGCCAGGCATGTGGCATGTGTCTCTGGTCCCAACTACTCAAGAGGCTGAGGCATGAGGATCTCAAGCTCAAGGCTGACCTGGGTAACGTAGTGAGATCCTGTCTGATGAGCATGGCCGTACCTACCTGTGGTCCTAGCCTCCTAGTCATAGTCAAAGACTGAGACAGGAAGATTGCAACACAGCAAGACTCACAAAACATCACATACAGACACACAGTTTTAAAAAATAAGATTTAATTGTCAAAAATAAAACAACAGCAACCAAAAAAACCCATTTCATATATTTAATTATTTGAATAACTTCCCAAAGGATGAAATAAATTCATGGGTAACTGATCAGTGAGAAATTTTTTAATTGAAACTTTTGCAGAATTTTTTTAAATTTAAATTTATTTATTTACATTCATTCACTGTACATCATTACAGCATACAAAATGAGATTTTCCATCCAGAATACACAGTATGTTGTCTCAATCAAGCACATCAACATATGTGTTATCGTCAACAAATAATTTTCCATTTCTTGTTTCCTGTATATTTTGCTATTTTTTTTTCCCATCCTTGATTCCCTATCTCTCACTCTCTGCCATCTCCCACCCTCTTCCCACACTGTCTCTGGTATCTATGGTCACTTTCTATGCCTTTTTCCCCTCACATTTTATTGATAAAGATCTTAATTAATCTAAATATTTTGAATACCAAGCACAACTGATATATACATATCCATGAACACAAGTCTGACTTTAGGCATAAACCTCAGTGAGTAGAATGAACATACTATAAAGTAGCACCTAGATGGGGCTATATAGCTTACTGCAGTCATCAAATAGGTATTTTTAATGCTTTTTTTTTTAGTTTCAAGAAAAACAGTTTTAGGGTTTTTTTTCCTGAAACTTTTTAAAAAACTTAATTAATTAATATTCATTCTCTAAGCATCGTCACAGCATACAAAATGTGATTTCCCATCCAGAATATACTGCATAGTGGCTTAATCATTCATGTTATCGTCGAAAATTTTCCGTTTCTAGTTTCATATATATATATATATATGAAAAACTATATATATAGTTTTTTTAACCCCTATTTCTTACTTCTGACCCTCTGTCCTTTCCTACCCTCTTCTCACACTATCTCTGGGGTCTACAGTTGTCTTTCATTCCTTTTTCCCCCACATTGCATTGATCACACAATTTTTTAAATAATCTACTTTCAATAGCAAGTTCAGCTGGTAATTTCAAGAAAAGCAGTTTTAACTTAAATAAGAGAAATACTAAGGAACTTCGCTTAAAACTTAAAGCCAGGAAACAGGTTAGGATTCTGTTCAAATGGTAGGTACATACGTTTCTTCCTTTCCTTACCCCCACAAACACAGAAGGTCCTGGCTCTGATCCTGTAATAACAGAATCCCGTGTTAGCTAGACTGACTCTGACTTGTACGCAGTGTGGCATTTCTTGGGCTCTTATCACAGATTTGTCACAGGAATGGAATTGCAGGTGTGACCAGTTCTTAATAGACTTCTGATAGCAGTCCCTTTGATGTGTGGCTTGACTCTATATCTCCCAGAAATTTGCTGGTTCATACCTAGAATGGAAATTCCCTACCACTCCTCAGCTGGGTATGGACTTAGAAATAGGCTGTTTGAGGCTGTTGCAACCTGGATGGTTAGTTGGTCAAGTAATTTACCCTGTTTCTTCTAGCAGCATATGGTTTTGTCGTCTAACGGTTGCAAAATATAAACTACATTTTTATCTGTGTTGGATTTCTGACTTCAGTTGAAATGTCATGTTTCTCTAGTGAACCTGTCATTTTCCCTTATGAATGTAATTTTCTTTGTTTCTGGGCTTTCAAGTCTCCCTTTTCTGTGTTAGTTCTCTGAAAAGGAAAAACAAAACAAAACAAAAAACCAAATACAATTCCTGAGAATTGATATTCCAGCTCTTCTTTCTTTAAGTTTGTGATATCGTCGTAGAGTCAGATTTGGAAGACGCAAGCACTTCCACAAAGCACATTTCTCAACAGAAGTCCAAGTTGGGTGGCAGTGACTCCAAGAATAGGCATTGCATTTAGATGCATCTTCTTAATTATGTACTTTGGCTTTCTAATGTCCTTAACCTGTTTGAGTTGTAGAAGATATGCAGAAGCACTTGAGTAGCACTTGTCATTTAGAAAAGTTTTTTTTTCTTGTCATATTTCTATAACTTGAGTATCTGAAACTATAAATTTTTAGAGCTTAATAGTAATTAAGCTAATTAATTAAGCCTAAGTAGAAGAAGTCTGAGAGGGTTACAGAGAAGGTAATATTTTTACTGGACCTTGAAAATGAGGTTTCAGAGAATGATGAAGAAGCATCTTCTAGCCAAAAGCCTTACCACATTCAGACCTTCTTCCACCGGTGGCTAGGAGGTAAGTTGTAGCTACTGTACATGAGAGGGAGACTAGAAGGATGCTATGAACAGTAAGAATAGGAAAGCAATGTAAATATTAATTATAGAAGGCGTGAAATGTCTTGACTTTTATTAGTTTCCTCATCTGTAAATGGATGACAATAGTTATAATTGCCTCACTGAAAATTTAAATAAGATTGTAAAGTTCTTGAAATACCAGGCACACAGTAAGGCTCAGTAAACATTCTCCCATCATCATTATCTTTAAACGGTGGCCACCACTGTCATTATCACCATTCTTATCTCCGTTACACTGGAGGCCTGGGAGAACACTGCACCATTCGGAGGGAATACGATGAGCCATCCTGGTGTTTGGGAAGTTTTTCCAGTAGCAGTACAAGGATGGATTAAAAGGTGACATGAGATGAAAAGGTCAATTAGGATGTTTTGAAGTAGGTTATTTACAAGTAATGAGAGTGTAGACCAAGGCAAGAGTGACTGTGGAAGTACAATGGAGAGAATGTGGTAACTGACTGAGTGTGGGAGGGAGGACGCGAGGTGAAGAATGACTGGCATTTCCGATCAGTGTCTAGGAGTTTGGTCACTAGCTGCCATTAGTCTACAGAGAGGACATAAGAAAGAAAAATGTTTACAAAGGATTAAGAGAGGCTCTTTCAGAGCATGCAGCATTTGAGGTCCCAGCAACATACCGTAGGGAAATGTCCAGAATCCACTGGAAATATGGGTTTGGGATTTGGGAGAGGACTCGAAGCTAGTGATGTCAACTGTGAGGTTATTGGTACGGAGGAGTCGAGCCCACACACCGCCCTCACAGATATAGCTCTAGAATGGATGTGATCACCAGTGGAGGGCCAGCAAAACAGGACCTTGGCCTGGCTCCAGGCTCTGCAAGACTCTCTTCTGCTCACTGTGGTGGCCTCGACACGCAACCCAGAGCCTGGTATCAGCCCTCAATAAGTCATTTTAAATCAACAAGGCTGTTGAAGGAAGACCGCAGTAAAGCTGTCTGACACTTAGCCAGGAGATGGGACAGGTTGAGTATCATGGAAATGGTCAGGGTCCCAAAACAAGATGTGTTTGGCAGCAAATTAGAATTCGGGGCCTCTCAAAACTGATTCCAGAGTTTTCTTGTGAAGCATGAAATGACGTCATTTCCCAATGATGCACATTAAGGTGATGGGCAGTTCTGGATTCCCTTTGTTTAAAGATGTCTGTGACACATCCAGTTTGAGAAGTCTCGTTTCTTCCTCCTAAACTGTTTTAATTAAGTTTTGTTAGACTGGAGTTCCAGATCTCTTGTGTTACTGGGTACTGTCTGAATTTTCCTGTGCCTGCTCAGTCCCAGAGAAGCCCTCTCTCCACTGGATTGAGTCAAAATAATATTGTCCAAGACTTTAGCCCTAAATACAGTAGTTTGAATAATTTCCTAAAATAGATCTCTTAATAATAAGACTTTTTTTTTAGGCTTTTGCCATAGGGTATGTGTGCTCACTAGAAAGAGACAGTCAGAGACAATGAGAGAAAAAGTGAGAAACAACCGCCCCGCCCGCCGTCCTGGGTGGGAAGTGGGGATGGTCACAATGCACTCCCTTCTTTTCCATTCTCCTCCTGGGATTTTAGGCACACACACACATGTGCCCAGAAAGATTTTCAAGCCACCAGGTCTGGAACTCAAATTGCGGTCAGACATATGGGAGTCCACTGCTTTACCCACCACACCACCCACTGGCCCCAAGACTATTATCTTACAAATTAACTTGCCTCATGATTGTCATATTGATTTAAAAAAAAAATTTCAAATTTTACCATAGCCATTTTACTTATTGGTTTTTGGGTTAGGAACAGGAACTGTTTTGTTTTGTTTTGTTTTGTCTTTAACAAGCTATCCTACTTGAGAGCATGTAGATTAAAATTAAGTCAAACAGAAATGTGTCATCCAACAGCAGAATTCTGGCTTTGTGTTTCAAGTCCCTTTTTATCATTTACTAGCAAGTCACTTAACCTCTCAGCCTCAGTTTCTTCATCTGGAACATGGAATCCACAGGGTGATCTCACAGAATTTCAGGACCAGAGCAGTGTAGAGAATTTGACTCTCAGTGTAGACCAGCAACTTTCCTGGCAGTGGAGAAGCTGAGCACTGAGGAGGACGCTGTTTTTGGAGGACAGAGCACTAAAATCGCTGCAGGGCTATTAAAACACAGACGGTTCGAGTTGTTACTGCTTACCTCACTGCCTAGTGACACATTATTTTAGACTCAGAGGGTGCAGGATAGAGTTACTCTCTGTGTTTAGGTATGACAGGAATCCATCCTGCTCAGATTTCCAGAAGTATCTATAGACTCTAGAGCTTGTGGATTGCACCTTGGAATTCTTCGGACCAGATCCAGGAACTCATAAGACTGAGAGTCTTGTGCTCTTGGACTGATATGGAGGCCTAGGTCCCCCGTAGTCTTGTGGGAGCCTTCAGACCCAATTCCCTTTGTTCAGGAGACACTCTGTGTTTGCCCCATGCCACAGTGCAGTTCTGTGCCCTCTCTGTGACCTGAGGACAGGGCCCAGCCTCTCCTCGGAGACCTGTGGGTCTGAGTCCTGCACAGCAATAATGTGAAGCTGAAGATTGGGTATTGCCACACCCAACTTGCTCACCAGGACGTTGTGGGGATTAGTGCCTAATGCTCATATAGAGGGTTGTTGCCCCACAAGAGGAGTGCCCTGATTCAGCACCATGGCATTATGGCCTGTTCTGATCCCTTCTAGTTTGAAACCTTGTATTTGTTTGTTTGAGGTGGGGTGAGAAATAAGGTTCTCCCCCAGCTCCTGCATCAGCCTCTCCTCCAGGAAGTCTTTCCTAACCTTCATTCACACTAAGTAAAGTGTTGCCAGCATCCCTGTGTCACACCAATGTTGTTGACGTGACTGGCTCTTCTCCACAGGCTTCTTGGGAGCAGAAGCTATGGACTTGAGCAGGAGCTGGTGCCTCATAGGACCTACAGTGATCCCCTCAGCACTAGATACACATCGGCCCACCTTGTGCTCCCCCTTCATCTTCGTAGAGGGAAACACCGAGGGCAGAGAATTAAGTCACTTGCCCACAGTGTCGCAGCCTGATTTTGAGCCAGATCTTTCTCACTCTTCAGCCTACACTTTTGTCATAAGACCATCTGGCTCCTTGGGAGGGTGACTTGGTTCATGCTTCTGTCTCCAGAGTCTGTCCCCTTGGAAACTCAGACCTCTTTGACATGATCCCCTGGGCTCCATCCTATTGAAATGACTGGGTGCCCACCCTGTCACTGACTGATGTGGTTAATTCCATCAGCTCTTCTGAGAATGCTCTCATGTATGGCTAAAACCAT